TTAGTATATGTTTTCCCTTCACAGGAGAATTTAGCCTTAATAACTAACAAATATTAGTCAACATGTGCATGTGTGAATTGATATTCATTAATGCAGATATGTTTGACTTTGGCAGCTAAATTTCATGTGTTGAATTTTATCCATTCCTTTCCTAGTCCCTTTTTGCTCTGTGTCTACACATTGCAATCGAATGGCATATTCCAGCCTAAATCTTAAGAAATGTACAGGATTTCCTCTGCTGTTGATCCCTCTCAGCATTGAAACTTTCTGTGACATGGAGGCGGGAATGGAGGCATGAACTATTTTCTGATTCTTTCACTGTTCTGCTACCGGTTCCCAAACAGCATGCAGGGAGAGTTCTGGAGTATCTAGAGTATCCAACTGTAGCATCAATGCATGAGGAGGATAAATTGGATGGGATTCAGGTCCAGATTAAGACACCTAAATGTATGAGGCTGCATGTGAAGGTGGTGTCAAAGTCTCATTGTATACAAGGGTGACAGTCAGTGGAGCCTTCAGCTAACCACCCAATAGGTATCTCATGCTGGGCTGATACACTTTTCAGGCTCCATTGACTGTAATGAATAAAACCCTAGCAGGGTTTTAATGCCTACATAGAGACACCTGAATTTAGGTGACTTCATCTGAAGCTGTTACTGCACTGGTGACATTCTCAAGTTATGAGTATATGAGCTAACTTTTAACTAGAGAGCAAAGAGTTGCACCATCAGGCACTGCTGCTGAATTAAGTAGTTGTATTGCTTCTAACTCAGGCAGTGATAGTTTGCAGATAAATAACTCAGTGTTGCATTATGTGTACAAACATATGAAGTGTTTCTTGCAAAGGGCTACTGCTGTTTTATTAGCACAATTTTGTGTAAGACACGTGCCATATTATGTGACAGGAAAGAGGCTTTGTCACTTGGTTTCATCTTTCCTTAGGTTGCTATTATGACTGTTTATAGCCCTAATCATTTGCAAAGTATGCAGCAGAGTCACAGAGTAGCAGTAGGGTAGATGGTCAATAACAGGATTTGGGGACAAGAGAGTTCAGGAGAAAATATTCATAAGAAGGGCATGAGTAACAGGTGGGTGGAAGAAGCCAGGTAGCTGAAAACAAGTTGAGGATAAATAGAAAAGGGTTGGACCAAGGAACAGATTGTGAACAAGTGTAGGAACAAAAGGGAAGAGCAAGAGTAGGGCATCAAGGTTGGGAACTGACTAGGAGAAGATGGTCACAGAAGAAGGAAACAAAGGAAATAAACAGATGCTTAAGGGTTCAGTAGAAGCTGCAGAACATAAAAGCATAGGTGTTTAATGTTTGCAAGAGAAATCAGGGAATCTGATATCGATCTATTTATAATTTTGAACTTCAGTATTCTTTTGTTGGCATAGAGCTATAAAGAATCTCAGTCACATTGACAAGTGGTACAGGGAACTTCCTTTTATTAAGAAATGAGAGAATGGAAGTTGCCTGTGTAGTTATAACTTAGGCAACAAAGTGCATTGAGGTATATAAATGTATTACAGGAATTGTAGAAACAGGACTAGGTGGGACCTTGAAAGTTTATTTAGTCTGTTTTACTGGCTAAAAACCTTATCAACTATATGAGTCATTCCTGCCAGATCCTTTTACAACTTGTTCTTAAAATTTTCTGATAGTAAGAATTCCATAACTACCCTTAGCAATGTGTTCTACAGTGCCTATAAGTACTGTTTCCAGATGCTCAAGCCAAATTTTCTCTTCTAGCAGTTTTAAGCCTTTCATTCCTTGACCTAACTATGGTGATATAAAGTATTTGTTCTTTCTATCTCTGTAGCTACTTTTTGCATAGTTGTGTGTACCCCTCTTCCAGTAAGGCAAACCCTTTACTATTACCTTTTTCCCTTTCATTCTTGCTTGTACAGATGTAAAGTGTTGGCCCCCCAGACAATTCAAGACAAAAATATTTTTAAAAAATTCTTCAGAAGTGAGAAATTCCATCAATCTTTAATCAATTGATTACTTATTTCTCACGTGATGCTTTTTTGATCTTGAGTATCTAGCAGTGCATTCATTATTTTTCAAGTGATGCTTCTGTGTACTTTATAGAAAAAGGCGCTCACTGCCTTTGGTGAAAATAAGGTGTCTTTCATCATAAAAAGCACAAAATATGCCAGATGTTTTAGTTTTCATATGCCAAAATAGGTACATAAAATAGCTATTTCATTGTCATTTGTTTGATCACATTGCAGACTACTTAGTTTATAGCACCTTAAGTATATTGCCGCTTCCAAAATATTTTCCTTCTCATTGTCTTTTTCCATATTGTAATACAGAAGGGAAGTGTACGGGATTGCTTGTCATCACTGGCCAAAGTTTGTTCTTCAACAAAAAGAACTAGTGTATGATTTCCTATGAGACTTCTTCCAAGCTTGTTGATTTGACAGTGGAAACTTTTTTCTCTGAGGAAGTCTTTTATGTCATCTATTCAGTCTTCAGCAGTTCTATGAAAGAGGGTAACAGGCCTGTTCTTACATCTGAAAGAAAAAAAAATTCTCAAAAAATTATTGAAAATTCTCAGCATTATTATTGCAAGACCATAGTACAATAGAAAAAAGAATTATTACGATTTTAATGCTCAACCAGATAAAGCTCCCAGGGAGCTGTGTGACAATGCATTTCTTCAGATACATGTTGAAATCCATAAGTCATTGGAGAAAAATTACATATTTTTTTTTATCTGAAACCAGATCAGTTAACTTCTTTGTAACATCCAATTTAATATATTGGGTCACATCTGCTAAAGGATTATTACACTAGAAGGAGGCAATGTATAATTTATTAAAGTTCCCCTGCAGGGATAGCAGACTATCTATTTAATATACAGGAATGCTTGATGGTTATACTGAAAGCTCCCAGATGAATCCTTTAGCATAGGAGTAAAATGGGCAGGGGAAAATAATTGCTCATTATAGAATGTTTACTGTGTTATATTGGTGCCTAGCAGCTGAATAATATTTATGTTAACAGTTCTTTTTCAGCTTTGCATATTGATCTCCTGCTGGTCTAGAGCTGTTATATAATTGTATTGAAAATGGAAAGATAATATTTTTTTGTAATGGAGAGTGACTAAAAGGCTCTTCCAACACGTCATCAGAGGCAGGGTAAAGAAGTCTTAGCGTTTTGTGCCAAAGGCTTCTGAGATTTTCATTCACTCTGTCTTCTGAGCTGTTCCTGTCTCATCTCCTTGTAAACTCAAAGACGTTGTGAAAAACACTCTCCCTACAGGCAGTGAGAGTTTCTCAGTGGCTGGGAAAGCTTCTCTTTCCATCGCCTTAAAGGAACATCACTGTTGCCATGCTTAATAAGTTGGAAAAGGACCAGGAGATTATATATCTTTCTGTGAACCCTGAAAGTTAGAAAACTGACAATTATCTATCCTCTCTTAGCGAATGCGTAGATTCTATGTAACTGGATGGTATTAGAAAAAGATTTTGATTCATGGCACGGGAACTGAGAATTAACTTTGTTTTGTTCTGCGTAATTTCTTGCCTCATACTTAGACAGCAGGAGCAAACCCAACGTTTGAAGGTGGAGTCCAGTCGGAAGCTCCCTAGACCATATCTAGGGACTCAGTGGGACTGACATGCCTCAGAGTTTTCCTGCTAACAACAAATGGCTCTTTTACTTAGGAGCTGTCAGCTCATCCAAAATGGAAAGTTCTTATACAGACTTGCTTTATTTACCCTTTATCAGCCCCTGGGACTAATGCCCCCAGATTCATCTGTACCTGCTTTTGAGAAAACCAGGCCTCAGAAATAGCGATGGTTTCTTAAAAGTGAGTTGGAATATTTTTGCATATAATTGGACTTTACTGACCAAGCTGCATTTTGTCAGAAACTTCTGACCTTACCTGTTGATCATTTCTAGATGTAAGCTCCTCGGAGGGAGGGATCCTTGCTCTTATAATGACGACAGTTCTGCGAGTTTTGCTGGATATGAACATGTGAATGTTTGGAACAGAACCCATGTTGCAATCCTTTATTTTTATTTTTTTTAAACTGCATGAAAATGCAATAAATCCATCACTTATCAAGTTGTTAATGTTTAAGACAAAGCAAGACAGAATATCAGCCACAGACCAAAATAAATGCAGTTCTGCTGTGTTTTCTATGGGGAAGGAACAAAAGATGTGAAAATCATCTCTATTATATCAGCTAATCGTGCTATACTAAAGAATATTTTGTTTTACTCAAAACACTTCTAAGTTCACTAACATAGCATTTTAATAGATTTTGTTTCATTGTGCGTTTGGAAGGTTCATTTTGGAAGTTACTGGAAAACAGAACTTTTGTTTGTAAAAAAAAAATAATGCAAAGCATGTCTTTGATCCATTTTATTCCATCATAATTACATTCATTTCAAGTCATAAGTTACAGGGAAACCTTGAAGTGGTTAGGAGAGGAAAAACAAGTGGTTAGGAGAACAGAAAAGTATTAATGCATTGAGATTCTTTCCAAGTTCTCCATTCTATTTCGTATTTTATACTGAAAAGGGAGTAAACCTTTGTAAAACTTTCATATAGTTTTTCCCTTCTTACCTTCCTACTTTCAAGTTAATGCCTTGAAACTTTACAGTCATTCCTAGTATAAAAAGGATCAATAAGAGTATAATAATAATCCTAATCTAGTGCTTCTTTAGTGCCTTTCCTTTATAGATCTTAAGACTTTTTTTTTTCTAAAGCTTCGTAAGACCTTTGTGAATAAGTAAATGGGATTTATTGGAATTGCTTCAATCACTGCTTAAAAATTCTATCCCTCTCCCCTGAAAAGCAAGAGTATCTATTTAGCTGTGCCTACCGAAGCTGCAGAATAGTTTATAAAGGACATGCAACTACCTTAATTGGAAAATCATGCACTTTAGGAATACAGTACTGGTCTCTAGTTAAAAGCTACTTCAAACAATTGCTGTGAAATATGAAAAAGTAATCAAGTGTGCATGTTTAAATCCCTTCTAGCTAAAAAGAAGAAGAAGCCAAAGCTCTTAAACAAGTTTGATAAGACCATTAAAGCTGAACTGGATGCTGCAGAAAAATTACGTAAAAAAGTAAGTTTCGAATCTTTCGTTCAAAAATCTAAATTGTAACCACAAACAAAGATATATAAAAATTAACTTGGAAAAAGGAAGAACTGCTTTGCCATTTCCTTTTGTGAAATTGGCTTTTTAAAATTAAATATCCAATGCACATTTGTACTTCAATTTTCATTTCTGTCTGGTAGTTTAATTTTTTAAAATCTTGAGTGTATGTTTATTCATGTCTGTTTGTTCACCTTTAACCTTGAAAGTATGTACCTTAACTGCTGATTTTTTAATTTGAAATTGCAGAGGAGACGTGTACTTCTTTTTTTTCTAAGTATTTTTATGCTGCTTAATCACTGTGTGCTAACCAACAGAATAACCGTAACTCTTCAACTCTTGGTCTTTGTATGAGAGAAATTGCTATTCAGATCATCAAAAAAGTGCTTAAATCAATCAATGGAACACGGTTAGCTCTGTCATACCAACCACGATGTGCAGTCCGTTCAAAAGAGCTCCTGTCCGTTTGAGAATTGAAGTCAACTATTGTAAAAGAACTTAGATTATACAAGTGTGTTAATATGGATCTTTCGGTAAGTGTTCATGTGCTTCACCGGCTTTAGCAGAAAAGGTGTTTCTGCCGGAATTCTGCTGGCACCTGAAGAGTGTTTCTGCTCCCATGCAACTGCTTAGAGGGTCAAATAGACATTCATGCTTTTTACCAGCGGCAACAAGACCTTACCATCAATCAATCCCTTTTGGTGATTTTGAATATAATAGTTTGACTCTGAGAAAAAGCAACAAAAAAGCCCTCCTCAGTTGTCTTCTGTGATAACTTCCAATTTTATTCTTATTATTTGAAAATTTCAGAAAAATAGACCTTGTCAACAATGTCCTTTTACCAAATGTCACTTGACTAAGCAAAACTGCTTGACTGTTAGAAATGAAAGACTTTAAGCCTTTTGGGTGTAAATCTTGCAAAACTCTGATATGCCTCGCAGACGGTCCTAGCACATGGAGAAAAACTGCAGGTCTTCATTCTACCCTAGATTTGAGATAGCTAAACAATAAGATATGCCACTTATAGTACAGTATAATAAAAATGATCTTAACCTTTGCAGGTGTAGGATGTTTCTTCATTTTTAGATGATTTTGATTGTGCATATTTAGGTTTATATTGCTACCCATGCAGCCTCAGAGTTTCTATAGATCCATGAAGGGGCTGAAGACCTGCCATAGAGACACGAGTCTCAGACTGTCTCTGCTGCTGTTTTTCTCTGGAAGCCTTGCTTATATGGTAGAATAAAAAAATAAAACACATTTTCATCCTTATTGCTGCTTAAGCAATTGGTTGAGCAGAATGAGACGTAACAGAAAATTCTGATGAGCCTATAGAATCAGCTGATCAGCTGATTTCCTGTCTGTGTCTCTTTAGTGAAATGCAAGCAGTCATGCTTCTCTTATAGGAAGCAGGATAAATTTAATAGCAAACTAGTCGCACTTAATATTCATTTGAAGATAGCAAGACGGTTGTGTATAATAAGTCACTCACATTTATACAGCTAAGTGTTGGATGTGGCTGCAAGATCTGATGCCGAGTTTTGCAGAGCAGTGGTTAGTTCCTATTTAACAGTGCAGCTGGTTCTTCTCAACTTCCGTCCTTACTTGCTAGTAATCTCAATCATGAGAATACTATAGTTGCTTTCTGACTTCATATGAGACAGGGAAGAGATGCAGAGTGCATGTGAAGGTCTGAGGGATAAAATTATTCAAAAAATTCAGAGGAAGCATCTATATACTTACAGAAGGTTCAGTACTACTTTCCCTCAAAGAGCCACAGTTATAATATAGCTAGTCATATGCAGAGATGAAATTTCTAGTTGTGTATAGACCTTTCTTCTTATTCTATATGTTACATTTCAGTTTGGATTATCTGTAGAATCTTTACTGCACACTTTAGTATAGTAAAGTGATAGTTATCTCAGCAAGTTTTGCAATCAGCAGAGGAAAAGTGAGTGAAATAAAAACAAAGCTATTAGTTTTAACCAAAAAAAGTGAATAATATTGTTTTATAACTAATCATAATGAATTTCTCACAAGTAAGCAGCAAAACCCCCCAAAAATGTGAGTGAAACCTGTTGATTCGCCATCTGGATTTTTGTATTTTTGTTTTGTCTTGCTTTATTTTAATTCAAATTAACTAATCTGATATTATGCCATTTTTATGCACTTATAACCTCTGTCTTCTAGGGAAAAGTTGAAGAGGCTCTAAGGGCCTTTGAGGCATTAGTGAATCAATACCCACAGAGTCCACGAGCAAGATATGGAAAAGCACAGGTACTGAAAAAAGTGTCATAAATGTTAAAATAAAATAAGATAAAATAAACCTTTTTTAACAATGGAATTCTAGATATAGACTTCATTTATAATTATGCAGACATTTTCTAAGGAAAAATGGTTTATGCTGTCGGTCAAATTGTATCCATTTCTGTCATCCTTATTTCCTCAGGTACTTAGGATGCTTTTGTCTAGCTTTAGTCTAGCGGGATGAAGGATAAATAATACAAAAAGATATATAGTTCCTATTGTTTTCATGAAAACTGCCAGCCAAATGGGAAGAGAGAAACATTAACT